GGGGGAACGAAGTGCCCGGCTAATATAAGCGTGTTTACATTAAAATATAAGGACAATTACACCAGCCGATCTAATAGTCAGCTCTGTATATGTTACTGAGTACTTAGGGCTCTCTTTTGCAAAGCCATTATACCCATGTGATCCCCCTCAAAGCCTTTCTTGAGGGTTTTGTTTTGACAGGAGGGCATTAAGGGGTTGAAATTGATAGCATAAGCACACCACTTACACACTTTGATCAAATCGGTCCATAATTCTCCCGAAGAAAGTCTTGTATATATTAGGAAGGAAATTAATTTTATTGCCGCTGTGGCTTTGCTGGTTAATGGCCCAGCAAGCCGGCCAGCCCGAGCGGGCCAGCCGTGGGAGGCGGACTTGCTGTGCCCTCCCGGCTCACAGTCCTTGGTCACAAGGCCAGGCCGATGGGCACCGGGCAGCGGGGCCCCAGATCATGCACTGGGGTTCAGGTGACTGTAAACTGCTCCCCTTGACTGGGCCTCTCCCTGGGGTTGTCACAGCCGAAAGGCACAGGGCTGGTGGGTCTGTGTTGCGGCCCTGGCCCGAGCCCACAGCACATGTCACAAGCAGCAGCTTGGGGGAGAAATCAAATGCTACTTCTCAGAGGGCCCAGAAGCGACTTTCAATAGTGGGGAGTGGAGAAGCAGCCACGACATGCTTGGCCTCCCGGGGTCCTCCTGGTCCCCATGTGCTGAGCGCAAGTCTGGAGGTTTAGATGACAATCTTTTGCACATCGCGTTCCCACAGGCCGGGCAGCCGCTTCCTCTGGCTGCTTCAAATGAAGAAATTCTGAGCTGTTCCCATCTCCAAGGCACAGGGGTGCTTCAAAGAGTATTTGGGATGTGCTGGGTTTTTCCTTGCTCGTTGATTTGAGAACTTGGCTTCCTCACAAGAGATAACGCCTCCTCATACTTTTAAACAAAGAATTCAAGTAGATTAAAAAAAAACTTATGAAAATCTCTTGGCACCACCCTTGGGGGTGGAGACTGGGTGACGGGGTCAGTGGGTGCCAACACAGGTGCTGGGCATTGCTGAGGGTGGCAGGGGCACAGGACTGCTTCACACTGATCTGTTTACTTCGTGTACGTTGGGAAACTTTCATAATAAGGATGGAGAGAAATCTCAAGGCAGGGCTCATGACCGCATTTCTGTTCTCTTGCGCTCCGGGACATTCATGGGTTGGGAGGGAGAAGGGCAGAGCACAAGCCTCACTGCAGGAACTAAGCACAACCCCAAAGCACAGATCATGCAGGAAATGCCACTCCTGGCAAGTGGTTTGGCTTTTTGTGGTTTTGTTTCCTGGTGTACACAAGGAATGGGAGTTTTTAGGGTCTGGAGGGTCAAGGAAGGGTTTCTGTAATCAAGTCACCATGTTCCAACTCCAGATCTGTCACTGTGGGACCAAAGGCGAGAGACTTGGCCTTCAGCATCAGTTCTTCGTGGGTGAAACAGGGCTAATAATGACTGAGTAGCACATCATAGCAGTGTGGGTAAAGCCCCGGCACAATCTGGGTACTGGTGCATACTTGCTGCGGTCGGCCTAGGTCAGCCTGTGCCCCCTTTTAGGAAGAACCCTGCTGCGATTCTCCCCTGGGCACTGCCTTGACACCCTGCTGGCCACCCAGGTGGGTGAGGGCCTTTGACTCCACCCCCTGCTACATAAACGGGAATGTGACTCAGGATGACTGATCAGAGCCCTTCCTCTGCCTTGGGGATTCCTGACCCCCATGTGACCATGTTACAATGGGAGAGACACACCATAGGACTTTCCCGGGATCCCCGATAGAGAAGTTTGCTCTCTCACTGTGCCCAGACTTGCCAGCAGCTGCTACTTTGGGAAAGCCAAGACTGAAGGAGCCTAAACACAGAGGAGAGAAAAGGATGGCCAGTGGTGAGAGAGTAAGAAAGACAACCAGTCCCTGGATCAAACCATTCCTAACTCCATTGCACTTAGCCAGTCAGTTACTTTCTGGGCTTAACCTGGACTTAGATTTCCTGTCCCTTGCAATGGAGAAGCCTACTGGGTACCAGTACTATTACTATTCATGTCATCATCACTTGTTAGTTACGGTAGCCTGGTTTCAATGTCCATTATATAAAATTTCCTTCTGAGATGGCACCTTTGTTAGTTTTCAGTCGCTATTCAGTTTCTCAGGTAATCAACTTACAGAGTAAAGGTTTATTCTGGCTCATACTTATGGAGGTTTCGGTCGATGACTGGTTGGGCCCATCGATTTGGGCCTGTGTTGAGGCAACATATCATGTTGGAAGCACGTGGTAGAGGCCACTTTAGAGTCAGGAAGTGAAATAGAGAAGAAGGAAGTGATGGAATCCCATAATTCCCTTCAAATTCCCATAAGTCTCTTCAGTGACCAAAACACGTCCCACTAAGCCCACCTCTTAAAGGTTCCACCATCTGCCAATAATGCTGGAGTCCAGGCCTTTTTCACAGGGACCTTTGGGAGACTGTTAAGATCCAAATTATAGCAGTGCCCTTTGAGATCTGTTCTTACCTACCCAGCTTTGTCGCTGGTATCGTTTTTGCTGTTTCCTGTTGTCAGTATCATGGCTGCACTATAAACGTGACTGAGGACTCAGATTCACACAGCTGAGGAGAGCGGAGACATTATTCTGCCAGGGAAATCCCCACCGTGCCCGGCCCCATGGCAGGACCCCAAGTGTATGACCTAGAGATGCATCCCTCACACCCCCAACATATTTTGCAGTAGGTACAAAGACTAGTGGTGACTTGTGGAGTGCAGGCTGGGATTCCCCGGAAGCACCTTCATCGTATGTTGGGGACCTGGGCTGGGCTGTCTGGAATCTGAGGCTGAGCTGAGACTGTCAGGAGAAACACTCGGCTATGGTCTCTCCAAGTGGTTTGGCTTTTTCCTGGCACGGCAACTGGGAAAGGGAAACTTTTCGAGAAGGTGCCTTGAAAGACAAGAGCATGAGCCTCTTCATGGTCTTCTCTGACCCAGCCTCAGGAACCGTGCTGTGTCATGTCCGGTCACCAAGGCCAGGATAGTTTTAAGGGAAGAAGGACCGTCGGGGAGCAGGGTAAACAAGAGCTAGCCCCATAGGAAAAATCCTGTGACCCTGGTGCACAGACAGTCCCTCCACGCGGGGCAGACGTGGTGCCCAATGTTGATGAGAATTGTTCATGTGCACACCCGTGCAGCGGGTTAGATTCACGTCTCATTTCACTCTCAGCACTGTGCTATGAGGCAGCCGCCACTTTCATCTCCTGTAACAATGGAGAGAACTAAGTCTCAGATAGGGTAAGCGACTTGCCTGAGGTCACCCTGATAGTAAGAGGAGGAGCTGAACTTTGGACCCAGGCCTGGCCACGCTCTTAATAACACAGCTTGCCCAAGACTTCCTCTTCTGCCCTGTCCCCCTCACTGCCTGTCTTGAGAATTTCTTCTATCTTTCAAGAAGCATCTGCCTCTATTTTTGCCTGATTCCATCAAGATGTGCAGAAGTTAAGAGCATCATCTCCTTTTCCTAGGTAAAGCAGGGAAAAACACCAATTGTACAGGCAGAAAAAACAAGGTCCGTGATGTGACTAGATAAGGTCACACTCAAGGTCACTGGCTCAGAGTACCTCTCACTTTGGTGATTGAGCATCACCCTCGAGCAGTCCCCAGACTGGCCGGGCCTCCCTGTGAGGCACGAGAGGGTCTCCTGGCCCTGTGTGCCTGGCCGTGACTGGCCCTTCTCTTCTATCTGTGGTCCCCGTCGAGGACCCGCTGTTTGCTCCCGTGGTTGTCAGGCCCATAATTGATGGAATTCCTCAGTCTCCGTTCCTCTCGTCTTTACCCAACCTCCCTTTCCTCCACCCAGCTCCAGCTTGAGCCTCAGAGCTATCTCACCCCCTCCCGGGTGGGGGTGTGGGGGATCCAGAGCACGTCCAGCCCCGAGAACTGTTTATACTAGAGATTAGCATTTATCTCTATACCTCCAACCTCTGTCCCCACGCTCCGCGCTGCTGTCTGCATCAAGGACGGAGGCACGGCCCCAAGAGATGAGAACCAGCCAGGCTGGGGCCACCTCCCTGCCTTCTGGGTCCCCACACCCGCCTTCCCACCATACTTGGGGTGGGGGCTCCTATGCCGTTCTCTCCAGTCGCTGAAAATCCTGAGGCATCTGGGCAAAGCACTTCATAAAAACCAAAATTTGCACGCTGTTTTTGAAGGGGATGCTTGCCTATGGCCGTTTGAGCCACGTGATTCTTTTGACCCCAAAATGATCGTTCTAGAAATCATTCTACAGAGACACCTCACATGTGTGTGAAAAGGTACAAGCATATTCTGTGCAACATTTCTGTATTAGGAAAAAATTAGGAAAAACTATACACCTTCCTTCCTAGAGAATGGCCTACATCAACCCTGCCGTGTACAGACTTTAGATTAGTGGGCGGCCACTCAAAAGCATGGGGTCAACCCAGAAATGCCAATCTGGGAAGCTGTCAGATGACAGAGGGTTTTTTCCCAGGGTCTAAGGAGGGAACTGATAGATATTTAAGCTGGATCGTTTGAGTATTTAAATGAAGGGACTATTTATGAAGGTGTAGGCAGAGCTTACAAAATATCCAACGAGGGACAGTACCAGACCTCAGGATAAGTGGCACAGGGGAGCCCTAGCCATACTAGGCCTGAGGAAGTAGCAGAGCTGGGCACCACACTGGACAAACTGAGGGGCAAAGAAACCCTGGGCACTGGTCAGAGTGGAGAAAGGTGAAGAATATGTGTGGATGAGGGGGGTTGATCCAGCACACAAAGTTAAATGCAGGAAAATTTAAAACCCATATGGATAGCGTAGAAAAGCCCTCAAAACTGTATCTGCTTACACACACACGCACAGTGTAGAGATGATTTGTGGACAAATAACAATTTGTTAATGGTGATCACTTTGGGCAAAAGTGAAGGGAAATCTCCTTGCTTCTCCGTGACCATTTTCCCCTTATTATTTTAATTTTTCAGGAAGAAAGTGTACGCCTGCGTCGCCCGAGCAAGTATTAGGACTTGAACTCTGCATTTCCTTGGTTCTTTCAGTCTCCCTGAGCTCCAGGATCTTTCAGTCAAGGCGAAAGTTGTCACAGGAACCTTCAAGGGGATTAGAGGAAGACTTGAAGAAGAAGCCGCTGGCTGGGCGAGCGAGGAGCCCGGGAAGTCCTTGAGGGAACTGATACGTTTGTCCCCACTGCAACAGCACACAGCCATAAGTATGTACACATTTTATATTCTTCTGTACCAGTTTTAAAATACGTTCAAATTAAACTTGTAAAAAGTACTCTGAATGATAGCAAATATCACCATGTTTGTAATCATTTTAATAGAAATTCCCAGAGAGTTTAATCACTCGGGGTATTTGCCATAATATCTGATCAATGATGTTTTACAAGTTGAAAGATACCCCCTTTACTCTAATTTTACAGATGTTAAAAAAAACAAAACAAAAACAAAAACAAAAAAAAACCAGTAAGCGTTGAATATGAAGTGTTTCCTGAAACATATACAAAGTCACACTTCAGTTCCAAAAGGCACGGCCCACTTGGGAGGTGGACTTGGACAGTTGGGTTCAGTCTTTTCACCTGGTGATTGGCAGTGATATCAGTATTTTCACGACAATGCTTCTAAAGCAAACTTCAGCATGGTACCTGGCACGTAGACTTCCCATCATGCCTTGTGACTTCCACTTGTCGGCCCCAGGGAATTCCAGGACTCTGGAAGGCCGCAGTCATGCACTTGGCTTTACCGAAGGCCTGGTGTCCAGGACAAGTTGCTAACACAGCACGGCTGCTTCTCTTTCTACAGAGACCTCCTGCGTTCCCAGCTCTCCTATCCCTGGGGTAGGCAAAGGCCAGCAGGGAGAGCCTGACCGTGTGGGGTGCCCCAATGGGACCCCCGCCCTCAGCCCTCTGATAGGACCCAGCTGTCCAGGAGAGCAGAAGTCATGTTAGATAAGTCGGTCAAACCAAGGCTGCACTTTGTATATTTATTTGTCTGACCCTGTTCCCAGGCCCCAGGAGGACGGGGTCTGAGCTGGGGGATGGGGAGGGGAATCGAGGTTGGCTTCTGTCCTCTCCCTAAGGCCAGCTCAGCCTTTCTGGAGCCCCTCGCCGTCTCTCACTGGGGTCATCCATCCAAGAGCTCTGGATCTGAAAGCCAACAGAGCCAGCTGTCTCTGACTGTCTCTGCCTGCCACTACACTAGGCTTTACCTATCTGAGACTCAGTCCTCCTGGTCAGGATCATCCTGGGGAAGTGCAGTTGTGAACAAGATGTGGCCAGTGCCAAGTCCTGCACTTTCTACTTTCTCTATTCTCCTTGCCTTCCAAGGAGTTAAGGCCTCTTTGGTCCCTGGGGCCTGAGTCCTCTTCCATCAGGCCTGGGAGGACAACTAAGCCAGGCTGGTGATTCACTGCCTGTGTCCTATGGCCCTTTCCCTTGGCTGATCAGGAGGCACATCAGGAGATCAGGTAAGGCCTGATCCAGGTGGGAGTAACAACCATGGGCCAGCCCCAGTGGGATTCCTTCTTGAAAATCATATGGCAAAGCTGCAAGGGATAAAATGCTATGGGCATGAAAGAGATGGAGGAATCACTCAAGGGAAAAAAACAAAAACAGAAAACAAAAGACATCTATACCTTTTCTTAAAGGTTTATTGCTATATTTTAGGTATACAGTACAGTTACATTCATCATTGGGATCTTGTACCTTTACATTACTGGTCTTGGTCCTTATTTTTTCCCATTCCCAGCCCTCCCCTCAGCCCCTCCACCCCTTCCCTGTTTACAAAGACACTGTTTCCATGTTTTTCTTTTCATATATTTTTTTTCTTTTCCCTTTTTACATTTCCATACTCCTCCCACTTCCCCTACTCGTTTAGACCTTTTCTTTGTATTACACAATATCAATTATATATTTTAATCCTTATTTACACTTTTAGTTTTTCAAACTAGAGAAACTATTTGGTATTTACACATGTGTGACATTAATTTCACTTAGTAGAATGGCCTCAGTGTGCATCCACTTACCTATAAATATCTCTAGTTTCTCATTCTTGGTTTGAATAGTACTCCATTTTGTTTATTTTTTAAAATCTTCTTTATCCACTTTCCAGCTGATGGGCAAATGGGCTGTTTCCAAGTTTTAGCTATTATTATCTGTGCCACTATAAACATGGGTGATCATTCACTGTGGTATGATTCTTTTAATTCTTTTGGGAAGGTACCCAGCAGAGGAAGAGCTGGGTCAAATGGGACTTCTAATCCTAGTTGTTTGAGGCATCTCCGTATGGATTTCCACAGCGGTTGCACCAGTCTGAACTCCCACCAACAATGGAGAAGGGTCCCTTTCTCCCCACAACCCCACCAGCATTTGTTATTGGTTGATTTCTTGATAGCAGCCATTCTTTCTGGGGCAAGGGGGAATCTCAGGGTTGTTTTTATCTTCAACTCTCAAATGACCAGTGATGTTGAGCATTTTTCATATGATTATTTGCTGCTTTTACTCATTTGTCTGAGAAATGTCTGTTCATTTCAGATGCCCATGTTTTAATTGGGTCTTTATATTGGGGGGGTCTGATTTTTAATTAGTTCTTTATATATTCTAGATGGTAGGCTTTTGTCTGAGGAACAGCTGGTAAAATTTTTTTCCCACATTGTAGGTTGTCTCTTAGCTCTCTTGTTGGTTTCTCTTGCAGTGCAGAAGCTTTTTAATATGGTGAGATCCCAGTTGTTGATTCTGTGTATTAGTTCCCATGCTGCTGAGGCTTTGTTCATAAAGTCTTTTCCTATGCCGGTGTCTTCAAGAGTTCTACCTAACTTATCTTCTGGAAAGTTTAGTGCTTCTGTTTTAATATTTAGATCTTTAATCCACTTGGATTTTAGTTTAGTGCATGGTGAAAGACAAAGGTCTAGTTTTAATCTTTGGCAGGCTGAAACCCAGCTTTTCTGACACAGTTTATTAAAGAGGCTATCTTTCCTCCAGTGAGGATGGTTGGCTCCTTTGTCAAAGATGAGGCAGCTGAGTACATCTGGAGTTGTTTCTGCATCTTCTAATCCACTCTGCTGATCTTCAGGTCTGTTTCTTTGCCAGTACCATGCTGGTTTTATCAGTATTTCTGTAGTATAGTTTCAAACTGGGGATGTTGATAGCCCCTGCCATGTCTCTGTTGCCTAGAATGGCTTTTGCTATTCTAGGTCTCTTCTGATTCCAAATGAATTTTTTGGTTACTTTCTCTAGATCAGTGAAATAGACTGTTGGGATTTCAATAGGGATTGCATTGAATCTGTATAGCAGTTCTGGAAATATGGCCATTTTTACTATGGTCTTCCCTCCACTTATCATTTATAAAATAATATGCTCAAATGTCAGTGAAAATAAACAGCTGATACATTCAAAAGAAAATCTTTTAATGAGTAAATGCAGATTTTAACAGAACATAGTATTTATGTCGGGGAAGAGTAGCTTGTATCACACTCAGATCTTAGCATATGCAAATATTTACAAATGGCAAGTAAAAGTAATAAAATCAAAATCTTTCTTTAGAGTAGCAGCTTCACAAAGTGAAAGAAATCCAGTTAGAATATTGTTGTAAATTGTATGGAGTGCTGGTTTGGTATTCATGAAGTTTCTCAGGTGTTCTTTGTCATGAAAATACCTTATCTCCCCATCAATTTTGAAATATAGTTTTCCAGGATACATCAGTCTAGGTTGGACGTTGTTTTCTTTTAAAGCTTGAAATACTGCACACCAGGCTCTCCTTGACTTGAGGGTTTGTGTTGAAAAGTTTGCTGTGATTCTGATGGGCTTTCCTTTGCATGTGATTTGTTTCTTTTCTCTAACTGCTTGTAGTACTTTGTTCTTCTGTTGGGTTTCTGGGATCTTGACTATTATATGTCTAGATGTATTTTTTTTTTTTTGATCATGACTATTTGCAGTCCCATGTGCCTCACTTATCTGTGTGTCAAGTTATTTTACTCTGTTTGGGAAGTTTCCTATCATTAATTCTGTAAACAGTATTTTTTATGTCATTTATACTTTCTCCCGCTTTTTCATGGCCTCCTGTCAATCTTATATTATTCTTCTTTGTGTCATCTAGGAGCTTTTGGGTTGATTTCTCATGGTTCCTTACTATTTTTAAGAGATCTCTCTTTTTGTGGTCATTGACCATCATCCTGTCGTCTATATCTGATATTCTGTCTTCAGATTGACTCAGTCTACTATGTATACTTTCAATAGAGTTTTTAGTCTCCTGGATATCAATTTGAGTCTATTTCATGGATTCCATTTCTTTCTATGTTGGGCATTCATAGTTTCCATTTCTTTCCTTTGCTTAACATTCATGGCTTCCATCATAGTCCTGAGTTCATCTATTTTTTTATCAATTTGAGTCTATTTCATGGATTCCATTTCTTTCTATGTTGGGCATTCATAGTTTCCATTTCTTTCCTGTGCTTAACATTCATGGCTTCCATCATAGTCCTGAGTTCATCTATTTTTTTATCAATTTGAGTCTATTTCATGGATTCCATTTCTTTCTATGTTGGGCATTCATAGTTTCCATTTCTTTCCTTTGCTTAACATTCATGGCTTCCATCATAGTCCTGAGTTCATCTATTTTTTTATCAATTTGAGTCTATTTCATGGATTCCATTTCTTTCTATGTTGGGCATTCATAGTTTCCATTTCTTTCCTGTGCTTAACATTCATGGCTTCCATCATAGTCCTGAGTTCATCTATTTTTTTATCAATTTGAGTCTATTTCATGGATTCCATTTCTTTCTATGTTGGGCATTCATAGTTTCCATTTCTTTCCTTTGCTTAACATTCATGGCTTCCATCATAGTCCTGAGTTCATCTATTTTTTTATCAATTTGAGTCTATTTCATGGATTCCATTTCTTTCTATGTTGGGCATTCATAGTTTCCATTTCTTTCCTGTGCTTAACATTCATGGCTTCCATCATAGTCCTGAGTTCATCTATTTTTTTATCAATTTGAGTCTATTTCATGGATTCCATTTCTTTCTATGTTGGGCATTCATAGTTTCCATTTCTTTCCTTTGCTTAACATTCATGGCTTCCATCATAGTCCTGAGTTCATCTATTTTTTTATCAATTTGAGTCTATTTCATGGATTCCATTTCTTTCTATGTTGGGCATTCATAGTTTCCATTTCTTTCCTGTGCTTAACATTCATGGCTTCCAT